GTCCAGCGGCAGGCTGAGGTCGTTGGGAGTGTGAGGCTCCTGCACTCCAGCTCCCTCCTGACAGCCTCCTCCTCCTCCATCCCGCGCGGTTTCATTCTATCTGGGAGGAAGTGACTCACGGCAGTCACTTCCTCCCAGTGCCGACTGGGGCCTCTTAGTGTGGGGGCTCCCGGTGCAGCCGCAGCACCGGCGGGCCCAGGGGGTAGCGGACAGTAGCAGACAGCGGGGCCCACGGGGTAGCTGCTTTGGGCCCCCCAGGAGTAAGTGGGCCCGGGGCAGCTGCCCCGTTTGCCCCGCTTTAAAGACGGCCGTGGACATCACTGAACAGAACTAGGAGGGTTTCAGGGCAGTAGACTATATACGGACGTTAATATTATCAGTAAAAGTACAGTTTTTATGTGAAAAACGCAAAAACTTTGGCTAGCATTTGTGCCCAAGTGGCTACTACAAAAGACTGACCATACCCCATTTTGAATACCCTGGGATGTCTACTTTTTCAAATGGTATGCCATTAAGGGGTAGTTTTCATATCTTGGCTGCCATACGGTCTCAAAGGCAGCCTAGACACAGCAAACTAATCTGACAAATTCCATTGTGAAAACGCATAAATGGATAAGCCGTATATATGACCCTGTAACTTTCAAAAAACGCCTAAAACCTATGCATAGTGCATACCGTGCCGCTCGTGAGACATCACTGAACAGAACTAGGAGTGTTTCAGGGCAGTAAACTATATACTGACAATAATATTATCAGCAAAAGTACAGTTTTTATTTGAAAAAAAAAATGAACACTAAGTTTGGCTAGTGTTTATGCCCAAGTGGCTACTACAAAAGACTGGGCATACCCCATTTTGAATACCCTGGGATGTGTACTTTTTCAAATGGTATGCCATGATAACATAACTTACATTTCTTGGCTGCCATACGGTCTCAAAGGCAACCTAAGCCCAGCAAACCAATCTGTGAAATTTCTATGTAAAAAATAAATAAATAGACAAGACGTATATTTGACCCTGTAACTTTCAAAAACACCATAAAACCTATACATGGGGGGTACTGTTTTACTCATGAGACATTTCTGAATACAAATATGTATGTTTTATTGCAGTAAAACCAAACAGTATTGTGACATTATCAGTTAAATTGACATGCAGAAATTGAAAAATATCAAAATTTCTTAATTTTTTTAACTTTTTTAGATTTTATTCCTATAAAATGGAGTTCTATATATGAATGTTTGATATGGAATGAAAGCCCTGTTTCCCCTGAACAAACCGATATATAATAAGTGTGGGTGCACTTAGTATGAAAGAGGTAAATTATAGTTGAACAGACAGAGAGTCAAATTCTGTGGTTTGTTTACATTTTGTTTTGATCACAACTTGTACATTTGGTTCCGTCCATAAGGGGTTAAAAAGCCTACAGGGTATAACATGGAAATTCTTACGGCAGAACTTGGGCACGCAAGACCGCTGCACTCGCCTGTGGACACCGTGGATCACCTACAGCTCGGACCGGAGGTGCGGGCGGCCGAGGGCGGACCGTCTGGGGCCGGACGAGGAGGCGGAGTAGCGTGGGTGGAGGCTGGATCGCGGCCGCGCGGGACCCCCACATTTCCCCCCCCCTTTTTTTTTTTCTTCCTCTCTTCTTCTCTCATTCTCTCTCTCTCTCCTCATGTCCACATGCCCCAACGACGAAGCGAAGGTGACCGACAGGGGAGGAAAGGGGACCTTGACCGGAGTAAACACATGATAGCCACAGATAGCAGGTAGGCCGGAGACAGCCCGGCCAAGGTTAAATTAACAACCCATCGGGGGGGGGGAGGGGCCGGACCCCGGGCAGTACACCCGACCGACTCAGAATACCACCGAGGGGGGGCTCGCGGGGACCGCATCTGGACCCAGGGGGACCACCACCTCCTGTTCGAACCAGAGGGGCTTCGATCCCACGCTACAAGCTAAACAAGGTACTGCACCTCGCCAACTACAATATATGCCCACGTACATGGTGGAACACTTGCTAATCGCCGGACGATAGGCAAGCCACTGCGATCCCGGCGGGCCCTACTTTATAAAGCAAATAGGCTGGGGGGTGGTCGGGGACTGGTGTTCCCCTCTAAGAGGCAGGTCCAACATAAAAGTCCACTAAGATCACTAGGTCTAAGAACCGGAGAAATGAGGCCTGATCAAGACTGGTGGGGTGAGGGGGGGAGAGGGGGCTATTACGGCGGGGGGGGTGGAGAGGAGGGGAAACTTAAGAACGAAACCCTACAAATATTGTTGGGCATAAGGTTTGGGGGCATCCCGAAACTTGTTATACCGTGTCTTTTGTTACGATTTGACCTGTATTGTAACCTTATTACATACAAATAAAGAATGTCAAAAAAAAAAAAAAAAAGCCTACAGGGACAAGCAGTATACACCAGAACAACTACATAAAGCTGTAGTTGTTCTGGTGACTATATATATTTATATATGTATTTTTTTGTACGCTTGACAAAAGGCAGAGCTCAAACCATCACTAGTGAAGGCTTAAAGGATGTAGGCGTCTATGATGGGCATTAGTGTTTGTATTCTTATGGGCTCCTGGTATTAAAACTTCCTTATTTGGCTGTCTGAAATCTAATGATTTAAAGAGGCTCTGTCACTTCAAATCTGCCTTTCTCCTATTGTTTCCTGTTCTCTTTCGAATCTGTTCTCATCAATTTCTGTTTAAAACCTAAGACAATGTAGGGACTAATTTGTTTTATGTATTTTTCCTATGCTTGACAAAGTGTAGAGTTTAAGGCACGCTTCCCTTCCCTTGTTAAGTTTGTCAAGCTAACAAATGAAGTAAAATTTGCCTTAGCTCCACCCTTTGTCAAGATTTGTCAGGTGTAGAAAAAATACATGAGACAAAGTAGTCCCTACTACTTTGTCTTACGTTTTAAAAAGACATAGATCAGAAACAACGAAAGTAACTGATTCTGAAAGAGGAGGAAAAGAGGGATCAATAAAAGAAAGGTTAGTTTGAGGTGACAGACACTTTAACTAAAGTATGTCTGTTATGCTAAGTGTCACTGCGTTAAAAAAATGTTTGACAGTGTGATTAATTTGATTGCATTTTCCAATGAACATTTTAAATTGGGAGTCTTGAAAAATTAAAATGCACACACATATTCTTACTGCTAATGACCACATAGTATTAGATTTCTTTACACAAGTGATTCTTTTTATAGTCATTGTAACGATTCCTAATAAACTTCCCATTGGGGGAAGTCAATTAAACTGCATTAATAATGCGATGTTCCCACTCTTTGATCTAAAATGTAATGGGTAAGAACCCACTCAGTATAATCATGGTGTTATCCAATTTTCACAATCTCTAGCTTTTTTTTTTTTTTTTTTTAAATGTATTTTATAAGTTTATTGGTTTTTTATTGGAAGGTTTATTGGTTTGTAAAACTTTAACTACACAACCTGTCAAATTGCTGTAAGAAAACCATTTTTACAAATACATGTAGTGGAGTCAGTCAGGAATATTGTGTGTAGGATTTGAAAGTTTAATTATCTCTTATTAATGATGCTGCTTTTTAAGAATTGGTGTTCTTTAACAAATGTCTGTATAGCAGTATCTACACAGATGAATTCACAAAAAATAAAATTAAACGATAAATTAAAATTAAAATTTAAACACCAAATAAAATTAGATCACTCTGGATTTTTTTTTTGTCAATCATATTTTATTCTTAATTTCCAAGATTGTACAGGCAGTTCACAGACACTCTGGAATATTTATGGTCAAAAAAACAAAGAAATTTGAGACATAACGTTAAGATTTTATTGACACATATGTTTAATATGAGAAATTAAAAGAAAACTTGATTTCCCTTCTAGTATTCTACAAAAAAAGTAAATTAAAGATGTCTGTCTGCTTTAAGAAGAGATGGGTCACATGTTTACTTTTGTAAGATGGACCTGAATCAAAGAACAAAAGCATTTCCATGGTAAGACGAGCTTGGATCAAATAAGAAAAAGTACAATACAGAATTTTGTAAATGGTAACCAATGTTTGCACAGTAGTTCAAATAATGAGAAAAGACCATCTACCTGCAGAGAAAGCATTACTTGTAAGAACATTTCAATTCTTATATTAGAAAATGAAAAATAAGATCGATAAGATCGAGGGAAATGTCATTACCAAGCATTCTTTGAATTTATGGAGTTCTGGAAAAGAGTCTGATATTTGACATGTATCTCAGGAGTCGCTATATGTAGTATTATGAAAAGGAAAATGTCTCTATTAATTTAGAAGCTTTCAGAAAGTTGGAACAGCCTGTGATTATTATTTATATATATAGTGCCAGCAAAACTCCGTAGCGCTGTACAATGGGTGGACTAACAGACACGTAATTGTAACCAGACAAATGGACGCACCGGAACAGAGGGGTTGAGGGCCCTGCTCAATCAGCTTAGATGCTAAAGGAAGTGGGGTATAGTGACACAAAGGGTATAAGTAGGGGTAATAAAATAGGTTGCTAGAAAAGTATTCAATGGAAACTTAGTAGATTATTTTTGATAGTTGCAGGGGAGAAGTCATGGGGGGGATTAGGGAGAGGATAAAAATCCGCTAACGGTTTAAAAGATATGCTTTCCTGAAGAAGAGTGTTTCAGAATGCTTCAGACTTGAGAAAGAGAGGTTCTCCTGAAAGCTTGTCATTAAAAAATTCTGTTAGTCCAATAAAAAAAGTATTACAAGATACGAATTTTATCTGTTTTTTACATCTAAATCATTGGACTGATATATATATATATACATACAGATCTTTGTTTTCTAATTTGTCTGGCTTCAGCTCCAAAAAAGGCCAAATAAAAATCCATAACTCCTGATGCTCAACCGATCAGACAGTTCCTGATAATATTGCAAACCTTTTTCCCATGCTTTGCGATACTTGTCATAGCGTGGGAAGCCTGTAGAAGGGCTTCCCCTCTAGAAGGGACCATTCTGCAGCAAGCCCTGCATGAGTGAAGTTTACTCATAGTTTGTTGTGGTGCCGTTTTTCTTTTTGCAGCTGATTTTATTTTTGCAATGGAGCCTTCTTTTATTTTAATTAGTGGCATCAGGAATCATGGATTTTCATATGGCCTGTTTTGGGGCTGAAGATAGAAGAATTAGAAGACATCAGACGGTAAGTGTGAGTGGTAGGTTGGGACTTTTTAACTCCATTATAGCAATAGGAGGTCTTACTGACCCCCACTGGATATTTTCAAATTTATTTTTATTGTTTTTTCATATGGCAGCTGGCTGGCAAATGGTGGCCAGCCGCTTCATAATAAATGTTTTTATTTTTAAAATAATTTTCAGTGCCTAGATAACAAAATCTTGTGAACAATGTGTCCTTTATTCTTGAGTTTGAGAGTCTCCTGAGGATTTTGACATTCTTTATTTTTTTCAGTTTCAGACAGGTAACATAGAGATCGTGTTATAGCATTGAACGTATACGGATGAACATTAGTAGAACAGTTAAACATCTAGTTTTTGGAAGTGATCAGAACCAGGTATATTCAGTTCTATTGTGATGCGACAGGAGCATATTTGCGTGTTGGCTATCTGTTATTAGTGTCTGTGATTGCGAGTTTTTAGGTGTATTTATACCTTTGTATATACTTCTGTAAGAGCAAGTAGGGTGGATTCTCGAGTGAAGTTTGCGCTGCTGTGTGTGCGGTACGTGTTAGGATGTCAGTGTCTTCGTTTTGCATTATGACCCCTTATTTTGCTTCGTTTTGTGTGAATTTTACTTGGTGGTGAGCTTATTTTGGGACTCGTCTGTATAGTTTGTTCCCGAGTCGGGCAGCCATGTTTTTGTGTATATCCCTTTTTGGTGTTTTGCCTGCTCTGTTTCCTTTGCCCTATGAGCTCGGGTGTTCGTTGTAATAGTTCGTGGTTCATTTATGTGCGTTGGATCGAGTTTTGGGTGTAGGCTGTTTATGTGATATTGTCTAGTTATGTCTTTGTACTATTTCTCCAGGGTTGTTTGAAGAGTCGGGTTGGGTTTACTCCTGGTTAGTGATATCTTGGTCTCTATTGGATTAGTGTGTCTTCAAGTGTCTCTTTCGTTGTTGGTATTCCTTTTGTTCCCCTGTGTGGGTTAGTCACGTCTTACATCTTGTGTGGTGGTGTGTTTCCTTTCAGGTTAGTGTCCGTCGTGTTTGGTTTAAGGTAGATCTAGGTGGTCTGTATGTTAGGTGCCCATGCTAGTTGTCAGCTCTGAGGGGTTTTGAAGCCCTTTACCAAGCGTGGAGTCGCATCTTCTCTACTGGTAGATTTTCCTTTGCTTCCTCCCTATCTCGTGTGTGTCTGTGAGAGTCCTAGGTCAGCTAGCCGCTCTACTCCGGTCGTGTATGCCTTCCTCTGTCTGTCTTTCATTCATCCCTGCTTTTGGGGTGTTTGATCTGCTATGGTCTAGCTATGATTGTTGTGGATTGTTTTGGATGTATGTCTCTGTTGTATGTCTGTTGTCCCTGGGGGGGTTGTGATCAGGTGTGTGGTTCAGTCAGTTGTGGCGTTTATTGTGGCTGTGCGCTATCTTGTCGGGGATTTTGCGCCGCTGCGGTAGCATCCCCGCTCCCCCCCGTGCCAGCCCGTGTAGCTCTCTTAGACACATAGTCCATCCATGGGAACCTTGTCAGGGCACACTTGTCCGAGTGTCCCTGTAGTGAGGCCATCATCATTTCCATGTTGTAGATTGTTTCTACCCTATTGACCCATTGTTGAAAAGAGGGAATTGTCGGGCTTTTTCCACAGTGTCGGTATGAGCGTTTTTGCTGCTGTGAGCAGGTGTATGGTGAGCAGCATTGGTAGCGGCTGGAAGGGGATTTCCGTACCCATGATTTCTTTGATCGTTCGATGTATCATCCGCCAGTATGGTGCGATGTGGGAGCATGTCCACCAGATGTGTATTCCTGTGCCGCATCTCCAGCATTCTCTTGGGATTGATTTGTGTACGTGCCGTAGGACGTCCAGGGTCCTGTACCAATGTGTCAGTATCTTATAATTGCATTTTTGAAATTTAGTGCTTATTGATCCATTGTGCGTCAACTGGAAGATATTTCCCCATTCGAGGTCAGTTAGTTCAACCTCTGTCTCTCTTTCCCATCGCTCTGTGAAGCCTAGAGGGCTCTTATCCCCATTGTTCTGTAGTGTGGTGTATAGGGTCGATACGCCATGTGCGAGGTGCTGTCTGGTCGTGCAAATGTGTTCTAGGTGCAGCAGTGGGCGATGTAGGTGATCCTTGCCTTTCACGGCGTTGACGTATGTTTTTATCTGATGGTAATGGAATTCGTCCAGCCCGTTTGGTCTGCGGTCTTGCAGCAGCTCTGCCAAGGTCTTTAGATTTAGTCCTTTGCACCATTGGCGTATGTGTACCCAATCCGTTGCTCCGAAGTTCCTTAGGTCGGTGGCACTAAGTCCTCCTGCCAGTGTCGGGTTGTTAGTTATGGGTGTGAGCGGGTTGGGGGACGTCGTAAGTTTCTTGGTATATCGCACTCTGCACCAGACCCTCAGTGTGGCATCTATCATTGGATTCCCTGTGTGCATGTCCCCTTGTGTAGCTTCTCCTAGCCATAGTAGGGCGGGGATCTTCCCCTGCGCTTGCTGTAGTTCTATGTTAACCCATTGTTTAATGCTTGGGTTGGCGTGCCAGTCGACTAGTTGATGAAGGTGCGTTGCTTGATAGTACGTGATGATTGACGGTAGTCCCGTGCCTCCTTCACTCTTTGGCCGTTCCAGGGTCGATCTCCGTATGCGTGCTGGCTTCTGGTTCCAGATGAACGTCTGAAAGAATTCACGTGGGATGGTTGTGTGCAGCAGCTGGAATAAGTATAAGATTCGGGGCATAACCTTCATTTTAATTGCATTTATTTGGCCGAACCATGAGATGTACTGTGTCGTCCATCGCTTTATGTCCTGTTGCGAGAAGGGGCGCGAAATTAATTTGGCATATATGTGCGATGTCCTTTGGTAGCCAGATGCCTAGATAATGTAGTTTGGTTGTGCACATTTTGAAAGGGTATTGTGTACGTATGTGTTGTTGGAGGGCGGTGTCTCGGGCGAGCCGCATCGCCTCCGATTTATCCAGATTGAGTTTCAGGTTAGATACCTCATTATAGTTCCGGAAAGCCTCCAGTAGGTTTGGCGTCGAGATCCTGGGTTGTTGAAGGAAGAAGAGCATGTCGTCAGCATATGCCGCCACTCAGTGCTCCCTCCCGCCTATGCGATGACCCGTGATTCCTCCATCTTGCCTGACCGCTTCAAGGAAGGGTTCAAGGGTGAGGGTGAATAGGAGGGGGGACAGGGGACAGCCCTGACGCGTACCGTTGCATATGTTAAACGAGTCCGTTAGTGCTCCATTGACCCGTATGCATGCTGATGGTGTGGTGTACATTGCAGCCACCCAGGTCCGCAGGTGTGGCCTAAAACCCATGTGTTTTAGTGTCTCCGTCATGAAGGTCCAGTCTACCCGGTCAAATGCCTTTTCGGCATCGGTGGATAGTAGCACCATGTCCCGTTTGCTGGCCGTGGCTGTGTGCAAGATGTTAAGGGCCCGGATGGTATTATCCCTGGCTTCCCTCCCGAGTATGAAAGTTACAGGGTTAAATATAGTGCTTGCAATTCAAATTCTCTGCACTTTCTGCCGGGGTTGTCAGGAACGACAATCAAATTTTAACTAATTAAATTACATAATTATGTTAAAATATTACTTAAATGTACACTTAGAATTTTAATATATATACATTGTTGTGGGAGGGATGTTTCTGTTGTTGTTGTGCTTTATCCAATAGTTTCAAAGGAGAGAGAAGATCATCTACCTTCACAGACAGAATGATTGGACTATATATATAAGAGAGAATGGAAAAGAGCCTTGTCGGACAGTTTGTTGCTTTACAATTCTTTTAAAAATCACTGTATGCTGTATAGAGAAATGGATTACATACTGGTGGATCTTCAGTAATGTCAGGTGAGCAATGTGTCCTCTTTTCTAGAGTTTCAGAGTCTCCTAAGAAGTTTGCGAACAGCCGTTGATATAAGAGAAAGCAATATAGGTTGAGAGAGAATCCATAACCTAATACAAATATATGGCTGAGGTGATTTCAAAGAGTCATGGAAATATGTGAGATGATTGGTCTATCATCCACAGGCTGAGGATTATGAGAGAGGACATCCTTTTAACAAGACAGGTCTGTTTCTTTTTTTCTTCAAATGTAATGCATTGTTTCCTTCATAAGTGTGGGTTATTGCATTTTTGTTGTGGGAGGGATGTTTCTGTTGTTGTTGTGCTTTATCCAATAGTTTCAAAGGAGAGAGGAGATCATCTACCTTCACAGACAGAATGATTGGACTATATATATAAGAGAGAATGGAAAAGAACCTTGTCGGCCAGTTTGTTGCTTTACAATTCTTTTAAACTCACTGTATGCTGTATAGAGAAATGGATTACATACTGGTGGATCTTCAGTAATGTCAGGTGAGCAATGTGTCCTCTTTTCTTGAGTTTCAGAGTCTCCTAAGGCGTTTGGGAACAGCCGTTGATATAAGAGAAGGCAATTAAAATTGAGAGAGAATCCATAACCCGATAAAAATATATCGCTGATGTGATTTCAAAGAGATATCGAAATATGTGAGATGATTGCTCTATCATCCACAGGCTGAGGATTATGTGAATTTATAGAGATATGGAAATATGTGAGATGTGGGGAATATTTCGATTGGTCTATCATGCGCAGGCTGAGGATTATTCGAGAGACCCTTTTAACAAGACGGGTCTGTTTCTTTTCTTCTTTAAATTTAATGCATTGTTTCCTCCATAAGTGTGGGTTATTGCATTGTTGTTGTGAGAGGGTTGTTTCTGTTGTTGTTGTTGTTGTTGTGCTTTATCCAATAGTTCCAAAGGAGAGAGATCATCTACCTTCACAGACAGAACGATTGGACTATATTTATATGAGAGTATGGAAAAGAGCCTTGTTGGCTAGCTTGCTGCTTCACGATTATTTTAAAAGTTACTGTATGCTGTATGGAGAAATGGATTACATACTGGTGGATCTTCAGTAATGTCAGGTGAGCAATGTGTCCTCTTTTCTTGACACTCAGAGTCTCTGAGGAGTTTGGGAACAGCCATTGATTTTGGAGAATACACATAAAATTGAGAGAGAAAATCCATAACCCAATAAAAAAAATATGGATGATGTGATTTCAAGGAGAAAAGGAAATATGTGAGATGATGGGAATCCCTTTGTTTGGTCTACCATCCACAGGCTGAGGAGGATGTGAGAGGACATCCTTTTAACAAGACAGGTATGCTTCTTTTTTTCATTAAATGTAATGCATTGTTTCCTCCATAAGTGTGGGTTATTGCATTGTTGTTGTGGGAGGGTTGTTTCTGTTGTTGTGCTTGATCCAATAGTTTTAAAGGAGAGAGGAGATAATCAACCTTCACAGACAGAATGATTGTACTATATACATAAGAGAGAATGGAAAAGAGCCTTGTTTCACAATTATTTTAAAAGTCGCTGTATGGAGATATCGATTCATTACAGTTAGATCTTCAGCAATTTTCAGGTGAGCAATGTGTCTTCTTTTCTTGAGTTTCAGAGTCTCCTAAGGAGTTTGGGAACAGCCGTTGATATAAGAGAAGGCAATTAAAATTGAGAGAGAATCCATAACCCAATAAAAAAAATAAGTGGCTGATGTGAATTTATAGAGATATTGAAATATGTGGGGAATTATTTCAATTGGTCTATCATGCGCAGGCTGAGGATTATTTGAGAGAACATCCTTTTAACAAGACAGGTCTGTATCTTTTCTTCTTTAAATGTAATGCATTGTTTCCTCCATAAGTGTAGGTTATTGCATTTTTGTTGTGGGAGGGTTGTTTCTATTGTTGTGCTTTATCCAATAGTTTCAAGGAGAGAGGAGATCATCTACCTTCACTGACAGAATGATTGGACTATATACATAAGAGAGAATGGAAAAGAGCCTTGTTGGCTAGTTTGCTGCTTCACAATTATTTTAAAAGTCACTGTATGCTGTATGGAGAAATGGATTACATACTGGTGGATCTTCAGTAATGTCAGGTGAGCAATGTGTCCTCTTTTCTTGAGTTTCAGAGTCTCTGAGGAGTTTGGGAAGAGCCGTTGATATAAGAGAAGGCAATTAAAATTGAGAGAGAATCCATAACCCAATAAAAAATAAATGGCTGATGTGAATTTATAGAGATATGTGAGATGTGGGGAATTATTTTCATTGGTCTATCATGCACAGGCTGAGGATTATTTGAGAAAACATCCTTTTAACAAGACAGGTCTGTTTCTTTTTTTCTTCAAATGTAATGCATTGTTTCCTTCAAATGTATGCATTGTTTCCTTCATAAGTGAGGGTTATTGCATTTTTGTTGTGGGAGGGATGTTTCTGTTGTTGTTGTGCTTTATCCATTAGTTTCAAAGGAGAGAGAACATCATCTACCTTCACAGACAGAATGATTGGACTATATACATAAGAGAGAATGGAAAAGAGCCTTGTTGGCTAGTTTGCTGCTTCACAATTATTTTCAAAGTCGCTGTATGGAGATATGGATTAATACAGTTAGATCTTCAGCAATTGTCAGGTGAGCAATGTGTCCTCTTCTCTTGAGTTTCAGAGTCTTCTGAGGAGTTTGGGAAGAGCCGTTGATATAAGAGAAGGCAATTAAAATTGAGAGAGAATCCATAACCCAATAAAAATAAATGGCTGATGTGAATTTATAGAGATATGGAAATATGTGAGGTGTGGAGAATTATTTTGATTGGTCTATTATGCGCAGGCTGAGGATTATTTGAGAGGACATCCTTTTAACAAGACAGGTCTGTATCTTTTCTTCTTTAAATGTAATGTATTGTTTTTCTCCATAAGTGTGTGTTATTGCATTGTTGTTGTGGGAGGGATGTTTCTGTTGTTGTTGTGCTTTATCCAATAGTTTCAAAGGAGAGAGAACATCATCTACCTTCACAGACAGAATGATTGGACTATATACATAAGAGAGAATGGAAAAGAGCCTTGTTGGCTAGTTTGCTGCTTCACAATTATTTTCAAAGTCGCTGTATGGAGATATGGATTAATACAGTTAGATCTTCAGCAATTGTCAGGTGAGCAATGTGTCCTCTTCTCTTGAGTTTCAGAGTCTTCTGAGGAGTTTGGGAAGAGCCGTTGATATAAGAGAAGGCAATTAAAATTGAGAGAGAATCCATAACCCAATAAAAAATAAATGGCTGATGTGAATTTATAGAGATATGGAAATATGTGAGATTTTGATTGGTCTATCATGCGCAGGCTGATGATTATTTGAGAGGACATCCTTTTAACAAGACAGGTCTGTATCTTTTCTTCTTTAAATGTAATGCATTGTTTCCTCCATAAGTGTGGGTTATTGCATTGTTGTTGTGGGAGGGTTGTTTCTGTTGTTGTTGTGCTTTATCCAATAGTTTCAATGGAGAGAGGAGATCATCTACCTTCACAGACAGAATGATTGGACTATATACATAAGAGAGAATGAAAAAGAGCCTTGTCGGACAGTTTGTTGCTTTACAATTCTTTTAAAAATCACTGTATGCTGTATAGAGAAATGGATTACATACTGGTGGATCTTCAGTAATGTCAGGTGAGCAATGTGTCCTCTTTTCTTGAGTTTCAGAGTCTCCTAAGAAGTTTGGGAACAGCTGTTGATATAAGAGAAAGCAATATAGGTTGAGAGAAAATCCATAACCCAATAAAAATATATGGCTGATGTGATTTCAAAGAGTTATGGAAATATGTGAGATGATTGGTCTATCATCCACAGGCTGAGGATTATGAGAGAGGACATCCTTTTAACAAGACAGGTCTGTTTCTTTTTTTCTTCAAATGTAATGCATTGTTTCCTTCATAAGTGTGGGTTATTGCATTTTTGTTGTGGGAGGGATGTTTCTGTTGTTGTTGTGCTTTATCCAATAGTTTCAAAGGAGAGAGAAGATCATCTACCTTCACAGACAGAATGATTGGACTATATATATAAGAGAGAATGGAAAAGAACCTTGTCGGCCAGTTTGTTGCTTTACAATTATTTTAAACTCACTGTATGCTGTATAGAGAAATGGATTACATACTGGTGGATCTTCAGTAATGTCAGGTGAGCAATGTGTCCTCTTTTCTTGAGTTTCAGAGTCTCCTAAGGCGTTTGGGAAGAGCCGTTGATATAAGAGAAGGCAATTAAAATTGAGAGAGAATCCATAACCCAATAAAAAATAAATGGCTGATGTGAATTTATAGAGATATGTGAGATGTGGGGAATTATTTTCATTGGTCTATCATGCACAGGCTGAGGATTATTTGAGAGAACATCCTTTTAACAAGACAGGTCTGTTTCTTTTTTTCTTCAAATGTAATGCATTGTTTCCTTCAAATGTAATGCATTGTTTCCTTCATAAGTGAGGGTTATTGCATTTTTGTTGTGGGAGGGATGTTTCTGTTGTTGTTGTGCTTTATCCAATAGTTTCAAAGGAGAGAGAAGATCATCTACCTTCACAGACAGAATGATTGGACTATATACATAAGAGAGAATGGAAAAGAGCCTTGTTGGCTAGTTTGCTGCTTCACAATTATTTTCAAAGTCGCTGTATGGAGATATGGATTAATACAGTTAGATCTTCAGCAATTGTCAGGTGAGCAATGTGTCCTCTTCTCTTGAGTTTCAGAGTCTTCTGAGGAGTTTGGGAAGAGCCGTTGATATAAGAGAAGGCAATTAAAATTGAGAGAGAATCCATAACCCAATAAAAATAAATGGCTGATGTGAATTTATAGAGATATGGAAATATGTGAGGTGTGGAGAATTATTTTGATTGGTCTATCATGCGCAGGCTGAGGATTATTTGAGAGGACATCCTTTTAACAAGACAGGTCTGTATCTTTTCTTCTTTAAATGTAATGTATTGTTTTTCTCCATAAGTGTGTGTTATTGCATTTTTGTTGTGGGAGGGATGTTTCTGTTGTTGTTGTGCTTTATCCAATAGTTTCAAAGGAGAGAGAACATCATCTACCTTCACAGACAGAATGATTGGACTATATACATAAGAGAGAATGGAAAAGAGCCTTGTTGGCTAGTTTGCTGCTTCACAATTATTTTCAAAGTCGCTGTATGGAGATATGGATTAATACAGTTAGATCTTCAGCAATTGTCAGGTGAGCAATGTGTCCTCTTCTCTTGAGTTTCAGAGTCTTCTGAGGAGTTTGGGAAGAGCCGTTGATATAAGAGAAGGCAATTAAAATTGAGAGAGAATCCATAACCCAATAAAAATAAATGGCTGATGTGAATTTATAGAGATATGGAAATATGTGAGATTTTGATTGGTCTATCATGCGCAGGCTGAGGATTATTTGAGAGGACATCCTTTTAACAAGACAGGTCTGTATCTTTTCTTCTTTAAATGTAATGTATTGTTTTTCTCCATAAGTGTGTGTTATTGCATTGTTGTTGTGGGAGGGATGTTTCTGTTGTTGTTGTGCTTTATCCAATAGTTTCAAAGGAGAGAGAACATCATCTACCTTCACAGACAGAATGATTGGACTATATACATAAGAGAGAATGGAAAAGAGCCTTGTTGGCTAGTTTGCTGCTTCACAATTATTTTCAAAGTCGCTGTATGGAGATATGGATTAATACAGTTAGATCTTCAGCAATTGTCAGGTGAGCAATGTGTCCTCTTCTCTTGAGTTTCAGAGTGTTCTTAGGAGTTTGGGAAGAGCCGTTGATATAAGAGAAGGCAATTAAAATTGAGAGAGAATCCATAACCCAATAAAAAATAAATGGCTGATGTGAATTTATAGAGATATGGAAATATGTGAGATTTTGATTGGTCTATCATGCGCAGGCTGATGATTATTTGAGAGGACATCCTTTTAACAAGACAGGTCTGTATCTTTTCTTCTTTAAATGTAATGCATTGTTTCCTCCATAAGTGTGGGTTATTGCATTGTTGTTGTGGGAGGGTTGTTTCTGTTGTTGTTGTGCTTTATCCAATAGTTTCAATGGAGAGAGGAGATCATCTACCTTCACAGACAGAATGATTGGACTATATACATAAGAGAGAATGAAAAAGAGCCTTGTCGGACAGTTTGTTGCTTTACAATTCTTTTAAAAATCACTGTATGCTGTATAGAGAAATGGATTACATACTGGTGGATCTTCAGTAATGTCAGGTGAGCAATGTGTCCTCTTTTCTTGAGTTTCAGAGTCTCCTAAGAAGTTTGGGAACAGCTGTTGATATAAGAGAAAGCAATATAGGTTGAGAGAGAATCCATAACCCAATAAAAATATATGGCTGATGTGATTTCAAAGAGTTATGGAAATATGTGAGATGATTGGTCTATCATCCACAGGCTGAGGATTATGAGAGAGGACATCCTTTTAACAAGACAGGTCTGTTTCTTTTTTTCTTCAAATGTAATGCATTGTTTCCTTCATAAGTGTGGGTTATTGCATTTTTGTTGTGGGAGGGATGTTTCTGTTGTTGTTGTGCTTTATCCAATAGTTTCAAAGGAGAGAGAAGATCATCTACCTTCACAGACAGAATGATTGGACTATATATATAAGAGAGAATGGAAAAGAACCTTGTCGGCCAGTTTGTTGCTTTACAATTATTTTAAACTCACTGTATGCTGTATAGAGAAATGGATTACATACTGGTGGATCTTCAGTAATGTCAGGTGAGCAATGTGTCCTCTTTTCTTGAGTTTCAGAGTCTCCTAAGGCGTTTGGGAAGAGCCGTTGATATAAGAGAAGGCAATTAAAATTGAGAGAGAATCCATAACCCAATAAAAAATAAATGGCTGATGTGAATTTATAGAGATATGTGAGATGTGGGGAATTATTTTCATTGGTCTATCATGCACAGGCTGAGGATTATTTGAGAGAACATCCTTTTAACAAGACAGGTCTGTTTCTTTTTTTCTTCAAATGTAATGCATTGTTTCCTTCAAATGTAATGCATTGTTTCCTTCATAAGTGAGGGTTATTGCATTTTTGTTGTGGGAGGGATGTTTCTGTTGTTGTTGTGCTTTATCCAATAGTTTCAAAGGAGAGAGAAGATCATCTACCTTCACAGACAGAATGATTGGACTATATACATAAGAGAGAATGGAAAAGAGCCTTGTTGGCTAGTTTGCTGCTTCACAATTATTTTCAAAGTCGCTGTATGGAGATATGGATTAATACAGTTAGATCTTCAGCAATTGTCAGGTGAGCAATGTGTCCTCTTCTCTTGAGTTTCAGAGTCTTCTGAGGAGTTTGGGAAGAGCCGTTGATATAAGAGAAGGCAATTAAAATTGAGAGAGAATCCATAACCCAATAAAAATAAATGGCTGATGTGAATTTATAGAGATATGGAAATATGTGAGGTGTGGAGAATTATTTTGATTGGTCTATCATGCGCAGGCTGAGGATTATTTGAGAGGACATCCTTTTAACAAGACAGGTCTGTATCTTTTCTTCTTTAAATGTAATGTATTGTTTTTCTCCATAAGTGTGTGTTATTGCATTGTTGTTGTGGGAGGGATGTTTCTGTTGTTGTTGTGCTTTATCCAATAGTTTCAAAGGAGAGAGAACATCATCTACCTTCACAGACAGAATGATTGGACTATATACATAAGAGAGAATGGAAAAGAGCCTTGTTGGCTAGTTTGCTGCTTCACAATTATTTTCAAAGTCGCTGTATGGAGATATGGATTAATACAGTTAGATCTTCAGCAATTGTCAGGTGAGCAATGTGTCCTCTTCTCTTGAGTTTCAGAGTCTTCTGAGGAGTTTGGGAAGAGCCGTTGATATAAGAGAAGGCAATTAAAATTGAGAGAGAATCCATAACCCAATAAAAAATAAATGGCTGATGTGAATTTATAGAGATATGGAAATATGTGAGATTTTGATTGGTCTATCATGCGCAGGCTGATGATTATTTGAGAGGACATCCTTTTAACAAGACAGGTCTGTATCTTTTCTTCTTTAAATGTAATGCATTGTTTCCTCCATAAGTGTGGGTTATTGCATTGTTGTTGTGGGAGGGTTGTTTCTGTTGTTGTTGTGCTTTATCCAATAGTTTCAATGGAGAGAGGAGATCATCTACCTTCACAGACAGAATGATTGGACTATATACATAAGAGAGAATGAAAAAGAGCCTTGTCGGACAGTTTGTTGCTTTACAATTCTTTTAAAAATCACTGTATGCTGTATAGAGAAATGGATTACATACTGGTGGATCTTCAGTAATGTCAGGTGAGCAATGTGTCCTCTTTTCTTGAGTTTCAGAGTCTCCTAAGAAGTTTGGGAACAGCTGTTGATATAAGAGAAAGCAATATAGGTTGAGAGAGAATCCATAACCCAATAAAAATATATGGCTGATGTGATTTCAAAGAGTTATGGAAATATGTGAGATGATTGGTCTATCATCCACAGGCTGAGGATTATGAGAGAGGACATCCTTTTAACAAGACAGGTCTGTTTCTTTTTTTCTTCAAATGTAATGCATTGTTTCCTTCATAAGTGTGGGTTATTGCATTTTTGTTGTGGGAGGGATGTTTCTGTTGTTGTTGTGCTTTATCCAATAGTTTCAAAGGAGAGAGAAGATCATCTACCTTCACAGACAGAATGATTGGACTATATACATAAGAGAGAATGGAAAAGAGCCTTGTTGGCTAGTTTGCTGCTTCACAATTATTTTAAACTCACTGTATGCTGTATAGAGAAATGGATTACATACTGGTGGATCTTCAGTAATGTCAGGTGAGCAATGTGTCCTCTTTTCTTGAGTTTCAGAGTCTCCTAAGGCGTTTGGGAAGAGCCGTTGATATAAGAGAAAGCAATATAGGTTGAGAGAGAATCCATAACCCAATAAAAATATATGGCTGATGTGATTTCAAAGAGTCATGGAAATATGTGAGATGATTGGTCTATCATCCACAGGCTGAGGATTATATAAGAGGACATCCTTTTCAGTTTATTTTCTTCTTTAAATGTAATGCGTTGTTTTATCCATACATGTGGGTTATTGGTTCTTGTTGGAGGTATGTTTCTGTTGTTGTTGTGCTTTATCCAATAGTTTCAAAGGAGAGAGAAAATCATCCACCTTCACAGACAGAATGATTGGACTATATACATAAGAGAGAATGGAAAAGAGCCTTGTTTCACAATTATTTTAAAAGTCGCTGTATGGAGCTATGGATTCATTACAGTTAGATCTTCAGCAATTGTCAGGTGAGCAATGTGTCTTCTTTTCTTGAGTTTCCGAGTTTCCTGAGGAGTTTGGGAACAGCCGTTGATATAAGAGAAGGCAATTAAAATTGAGAGAAAATCTATAACCCAATAAAAATAAATGGCTGATGTGAATTTATAGAGATATTGAAATATGTGAGATGTGGGGAATTATTTTGATTGGTCTATCATGTGCAGGCTGAGGATTATTTGAGAGGACATCCTTTTAACAAGACAGGTCAGTTTCTTTTCTTCTTTAAATGTAATGCATTGTTTCCTCCATAATTGTGGGTTATTGCATTGTTGTTGTGGGAGGGATGTTTCTATTGTTGTTGTGCTTTATCCAATAGTTTCAAGGAGAGAGGAGATCATCTACCTTCACAGACAGAACAATTGGACTATATACATAAGAGAGGATGGAAAAGAGCCTTGTTAGCTAGTTTGCTGCTTCACAGTTATTTTAAAAGTCTCTGTATGCTGTATGGATAAATGGATTACATACTGGTGGATCTTCAGTAATGTGAGGTGAGCAATGTGTCCTCTTTTCTTGAGTTTCAGAGTCTCCTGAGGAGTTTGGGAACAGCCGTTGATATAAGAGAAGGCAATTAAAATTGAGAGAGAATCCATAACCCAATAAAAGATAAATGGCTGATGTGAATTTATAGAGATATGTGAGATGTGGGGAATTATTTTCATTGGTCTATCATGCACAGGCTGAGGATTATTTGAGAGAACATCCTTTTAACAAGACAGGTCTGTTTCTTTTTTTCTTCAAATGTAATGCATTGTTTCCTTCAAATGTAATGCATTGTTTCCTTCATAAGTGAGGGTTATTGCATTTTTGTTGTGGGAGGGATGTTTCTGTTGTTGTTGTGCTTTATCCAATAGTTTCAAAGGAGAGAGAACATCATCTACCTTCACAGACAGAATGATTGGACTATATACATAAGAGAGAATGGAAAAGAGCCTTGTTGGCTAGTTTGCTGCTTCACAATTATTTTCAAAGTCGCTGTATGGAGATATGGATTAATACAGTTAGATCTTCAGCAATTGTCAGGTGAGCAATGTGTCCTCTTCTCTTGAGTTTCAGAGTCTTCTGAGGAGTTTGGGAAGAGCCGTTGATATAAGAGAAGGCAATTAAAATTGAGAGAGAATCCATAACCCAAAAAAAATAAATGGCTGATGTGAATTTATAGAGATATGGAAATATGTGAGGTGTGGAGAATTATTTTGATTGGTCTATCATGCGCAGGCTGAGGATTATTTGAGAGGACATCCTTTTAACAAGACAGGTCTGTATCTTTTCTTCTTTAAATGTAATGCATTGTTTCCTCCATAAGTGTGGGTTATTGCATTGTTGTTGTGGGAGGGTTGTTTCTGTTGTTGTTGTGCTTTATCCAATAGTTTCAATGGAGAGAGGAGATCATCTACCTTCATAGACAGAACGATTGGACTATATACATAAGAGAGAATGGAAAAGAGCCTTGTTGGCTAGTTTGCTGCTTCACAATTATTTTAAAAGTTGCTGTATGGAGAAGTGGATTACATACTGGTGAATCTTCAGTGATGTCAGGTCAGCAATGTGTCCTCTTTTCTTGAGTTTCAAAGTCTGGAAACAGACGTTTTTGTAGGAGAATACACTTACACATAGAGAATCCATAACCAAATAAATGGCTTCCTGTGTCAGTGTCGCTCCATAATTATTGGTTGGTGCTTTGTTGTGAGAGGATTTTTATTATGATTTGTTTTGCCCAGTAGTTTCAAAGAATAGAGACGACCATCTCTACAGGTATAAGAATTTGTAAGAGGACCAAGCCATGAGGTTCTTGTCATTTGTGAAATTGGACATGAGCTGCTTGTAGAAGGTAAATGCAGGGATGGAGCATGAAAACCTATCCTATTTCTAAGCCTTAACGTCCTAGCAGGTGTTAATAATAACAATTCTTAATAACTGCTTATTAACAACATGCATTAAAACAAGCACAATGAATAAATATGATTATTTTATTGCTATTTTAGTGGAATGTTTCCCAGAGGAGAGAAGACAATTTAACTGCACAGAGACTGGAACTGGTAAGGGTCTCTCTGTTACTATATTAGAAACCAAATTATTAGTCTTCATTATCCTTTTTTGCTTATTGGCCCTTGATACACTCAGCCATCGAATGGTGTTCAACCTTGGACAAAATTGATTCTGCAAATAATGAAATGTTAGTAAAAATAGAAGAATTAAAAAAAAAAAACTTGGTCCATTCTTCAAATTGTTGCATTTCATTATATGATTAAATTAATGGTGTCTAGAACCTAAGACCATATATCTAAATAGTATGTAGCCTTCCAAAAGAAAAATGTTGACATTTTATCGGAATGTTTTAGGTGTATTAAAAAAGTGTGGTTATCATCAAATGTTTATCAGAATTAGTTTATGTAGACAGTAAATGTCGGTGTATATATTTTACTACCAGGCTCTGGATCCTTATGCTTGAATATCTGAGACAACAGCATCAAACACAGCCAAAATCCTGTACACATAGGGAGCTGAGTCAAGAAATTAATGGGTTAAAGGAGAAAAGACTAAACTTCACTGCTGAAATTTGAGACAACTGCATCAAACACAGACAGAATTATATAAACATAGGGAGCTGAGTCAAGAGATTCATCGGTTGAAGGAGAAGAGACTAAACTTCACTGCTGAAATTTGAGACAACTGCATCAAACACAGCCATAATTATATACACAGAGGGAGCTCAGTCAAGAGATTTGTGGATTGAAAGAGAAGAGGTTTAACTGGACTGCTCATTGAAGAAAACTAGATTATGGCTCAAGATTAAGCAAGAAGGCTTTTGGTCGCACCTCTCATCAAAGTCATCTTTTGGGATTTACATTCAACATCTAGATTTACATTATACTTCTTTAGAAAACCATTGTGAAAATGTATTTTTGCTCAATGAAAAAAATAAACTGTCAATTATCTAATGGTATAGTCATTTGCTATTTAATTCTAACCTGGAAGATACAAAGATACAATTACAAATGAAAACACAAAAAAAATTGCTAATATCATTCATAAACACTGATCTTAAAATATTCGCCAAAATATTAGCCTCCAGACTCACACCCCTCCTTCCACACCTGATCCACCCAGACCAGATTGGCTTCATACTTGGGCGACAGCTATATGAGAACACCCGATGGGGTGGACATTCTATGGTACATGAGGGAATCCAGGACGCCTTCTCTGGTGCGCTCTCTAGATGCAGAGAAGGTGTTTGACAGGGTGCTGTGGCTGTACCTGTTCCATTTGCTCCACTTTCAGTGGTTCCCTCAACCCTGTGTGACAGCGATTTAGGCGTTATACACGGACATACACGCACAGGCGCTCATAACAGGAGCGAAGAATACACCGTTCTCCCTTGGAAACGTAACCAGACAGGGGTGCCCCTTGTCCCCCTTACTATTTGCCCTGATACTGGAGCTGCTCATAAAAGCTATAAGGTAGCACCCACACATCCAGGGAGTGGAAGTACTGGGAAAACCAAAAACAGTAGCTATGCCCTTTTATTTAGCAGCTCCGGACGTGGTGCTCATACGCAGCAGACACCATTTAAGGATAAACCCAGAGGAGTTCATGTATCTGGGCATCCGACCGACAGCAAACCCCTCAACCCTCTTCACCCGTAACTATAACCCCCTGATCCAAACCCTTATCAAAGAATTAGATCAATGGACGGACAGACCTAACGCTTGGCTAGGACGTAATATTGTCTCAATTTTTTCATTAATTTGAAAATGTAGAAATCTATGTATTATAAATAAATGACTAATCACTTACAATTTTAGAGATCTACAGTGAGGGAAAAAAGTATTTGATCCCCTGCTGATTTTGAACATTTGTCCACTAACAAAGAAATGATCAGTCTATAATGTTAATGGTAGGTGTATTTTAACAGTGAGAGACAGAATAACAAAACAAAAAAAATCAAGAAAAATGCATGTCAAAAAGTTATAAATTGATTTGCATGTCAATGAGTGACATAAGTATCTGACCTCTTCGACTTAGTACTTGGTGGAAAAACCCTTGTTGGCAATCACAGAGGTCAGGCGGTTCTTGTAGTTGGCCACCAGGTTTGCACACATCTCAATAGGGATTTTATTCCACTCCTCTTTGCAGATAATCTCCAAGTCAAGTCAAGGTTTTGAGGCTGACGTTTGGCAACTCGAACCTTTAGCTTTGTGACAATTTATAAAAGTGATGATTTATACCTGGGAATAGAAACACCTTCATTGTTGTCACTCATAACAGTCGCACTCACTTCCCTCCTTCTCAACTAGCTGTACTTCTGGATTTGGTTTATTTCTGGTGTGCAAAATGAGGAAGGGTTAGCTGGGCAGCCATTAATAGACTGCTAACATAAGCTGACTTATCAACCTTACAACCTGTACCCCATTTTACACTTTTGATTGCCACTTTCGCACTCACTCATCCCTTTGCGTGTACCTCCTAACTCTTTTTGTGTGTTTCTCCTAATCCCTTTTCATTTTCTTGTGTGTCTCTTAACTCGCGTTACTTCTTCTGGATTACTTAACCCCCTTAACATCTTGCCTGTTTCTTAGCCCTCTTTTCCTTTTTGTCCCACACGCATGCACATGCATGCATACATTCAATAATACATGCAGTCACAGACACAAAATCACACACAGTCGCAGCATACACGATTATATACACAGTCACTAACACGTACATATACCTAGACACAAAGTCACAGCCATACAATCACACGCACAGTCACATATACACACGCGGTCACACATCCACGCAACGAGTCAGGTGCACACAGTCAGGCACATACAACATGTTTCATACAATTACACAAGCTGACACGTGCACACACACGACATACTCAGTCACCTAGTTACAGGCACACACACTGTTACAGGCACATAAACAATAAGAGGCACACAAAGCTAGACACCATGCACATAATCACAAGAACACTCTTAAGGCCAGTATTTGTCAAGGTACCTTGCGTGCTGGCACAGACTACCACAACCTGGAGACGTCCTGCACATGGAGAGGGACCTTTTCCGAAGTCCCTTTTCTCTCTCCAGCGATTCTCACTCTGGCTGCGATAGCCCCATTTTTATGATGCGGTGTGTGTGCGCCGACGTCATCATGTTGGTGGCGTCACAGCACGCCAAAACGGTCAAATTCATACGTTTTGGCAGCGTGGCTACAAATTTAAAGAGCACACTATAAAGGGTATAAGTCATTGAGCTGTTGTGGTTCATTATTGTTCCAAATAGCACATTATTTCTATTGTATATTCTTGGTTCTGACTTTGGCTTTGTTTGATTCTACCTTCTTTGATTTCTCTTCTGTATTCTCGCTGTTCCTGATTTCTGGCTTCCCTGACCTCGGCTTGTCCCTATTTACTCTCTGTCCTTGTGACATTAGCTCGGCCACTCTAAGGTCCAGTACACGTTATTATTTTTACTACACACTGCGTGTTGGATCCCTATATATTCCTGACAGTATTGCACTTCTACCCTGTATACCTGTAATACTTATTTTGTAATACTTCTTTAATTGGAACTCAACTGCAGAATTTTCTGATTGCAGCAACAATAAGTTTCACCTCCTTTTATACTGATAAGAAACAATGGTTACTGTATCTTTAAATACACATGCAGGGAAATAGGCAGTGCTAATTTCCAACTTAATTAAGATGGAATAAATTATGAGAAATTTATTAATGAATCTGGACAGGCTTGCAATTAGAATAAGTTGATTATTGCAGGAAGAATTAGCCTTAGTAGCAATCCCTTATGAATAAGAGGAATAGCTTGACAAAGTGACACCTTGGTGAGCTTAGATACTGTGTAACATAAATAATAGGAACTGGCTTGTTTGGCAAAAGTTTTACTTAACTTAAAGGCAGTTCTGGCACTGGAAGGGTTAATTCACCCAATGGAGGAGAAATTAGAAGTCCGTTTTAACAAGCCGAGAACTAGGAGTGGAGAGTGTGGAAGTCCGTTTTAACAAGCCAAGGTCTGGGAGTGGAGAAGGTAGAATTCAGTGTTACAAGCCGAGGTCTAGGAGTGGAGAAGGTAGAAATCCGTTTTACATGCCGAGGTCTAGAAGTGGAGCAGGTAGGATCAAAGTAGAGCAGCTGATCTCTCTGCAGCACCTGTGCGAATAATCCAGCCCTTTGAATCTGGCGCGGTCTTCCTAAGTATCGTGGAGGGACCGCGTCAGAGAAAAGGGGCGGGGCTAAGCGCCGTGAACCCGGAAGTGGGTTCCGACGGCGAAATACATGCCATGCTATACCTGACAGTACCCCCTTCTCATGGGGCATCCTCTGGGTGCACTATTTCGGTTTGGAGGGGTAGCGTTTGTGAAAGGCAGCAACTAACCTCCTAGCATGTACATTAGATGAATCTTCCCAAGTGTCTTCATCAACTCCATAACCTTTCCATCTAATAAGGTATTGTAAGGAGCCACGGTGGACACGAGAATCCAAAATTTTGTGCATTTTATATTCTTCTTCACCTTGGACAATGATAGGTTCAGGAGTTGTTACTATTTCTCTATGAAAAGGATCAGGGATGTGTGGTTTAAGCAAGGAGACATGGAATACTGGATGAAGTTTAAAACTTGGAGGAAGTTTTAGTTTAATGACGTTATCATTAATGATTGTAATTACTTGAAAGGGACCAAGAAAAAGAGAGCTCAATTTCTTTGAAGGACGGCTTGTGGTAATATTCCTTGAAGAGAGCCAGACAAGATCCCCTACCTTGTAAGGAGGGGGAATTCTTCTATTATTGTCAAAAAACTTTTTCTGGTTATTTTGGGCGAGTTGAAGATTCTCCCGTAATTTGAGAAATAGAGAAGACATAAATTCGTTTTTTGATGTAACAGTAGGATTGGATGAAGTAATAGTTTGGATGGGAAATGAAGACGGATGAAAACCATAGTTGGAGAAGAAAGGAGTCATTTTCGTACTAGAATGAATGGTATTATTGTAGGAAAATTCGGCCATAGGTAACCATGTGGTCCAGTCATCTTGGAGGTATGAACAATAACATCGAAGATATTGTTCCAAACATTGATTAACCCTCTCTGTTTGCCCATTGGTTTGGGGATGATAGGCGGAAGAGAGTTTGCGTTGAATTTGAAGGGAGAGACACATCTCTTTCCAGAATTTGGAGGTAAATTGTGTCCCCCTATCAGAAATAATTTCTTCAGGAAGACCATGAAGTTTCACAATATTGTCAATAAAGACCTTAGACAATTCTACAGAGGAGGGTAATTTTTTTAAAGAAATGAAATGGGACATTTTTGTGAAGCGATCCACAACGACAAGAATAGTGGTGAAATGTTGAGAAGGTGGGAGATCAACGATAAAATCCATAGAAATGGATTGCCAAGGTTTTTCTGGAATAGGTAAGTTAAGTAGTAATCCAAAAGGTTGATTATGTTCAGGTTTAGACCTTTGACAGATAGGACAAGTTTTGACATATAATTCAATGGTTCTATCCTGGCGAGGCCACCAATAATATCGTGAAGTTAGTTCAAGAGTTTTCTTTATTCCAGGATGTCCAGCTAGGGGTGAATCATGAACCATCTTAAGTAATTTGTTCCTAAGAATGGGAGGAATATAAATTCTATTTTTAAAATAGAATATACCATCGTTTTTTGTTAGTATAGGTGTTTTGGGAAGTTCAAGATCCTTCTGATTCAAATTCTTTATGTCATCATGAAGAGAAGAGAGGATCCCTATTATTTTGTTAGGAGGATAATCATCAGTAGTAGTTTTAGAAGGAATTCGAGAAAGAGCGTCAGCCTTTTTATTTCTAGTTCCAGGTCTGTATATTAATTGGAAGTTAAATCAGTTAAAAAATAGGTTCCATCTAACTTGTCTAGCCGTAAGGGTTTTGTTAGTATAGAGATATTCAAGATTTT